TAATAAATGTTAATCGTTAGCGTAACCCTCGTTGATAAAATAACATTTAATAAATGTTAATCGTTAGCGTAACCCTCGTTGATAAAATAACATCTAATAAATGTTAATCGTTAGCGTAACCCTCATTGATAAAATAACATCTAATAAATGTTAATCGTTAGCGTGACCCTCGCTGATAAAATAACATTAATAAATGTTAAACGTTAGCGTAACCCTCGCTGATAAAATAACATTAATAAATGTTAAACGTTAGCGTAACCCTCGCTGATAAAATAACATCCATTAAAAATAAAAGTGATTCACCTGGTCAGGTTCTGGTCGGTTCAGGTCTTGAACGACCTGCTGCTGTTTCAGCTTCTTGTCGTTTGCAGGTTTGTTTTTGGCTGCGACTGAAGCTGGTCTGGATGAAGACTTGGGGATACATTTCTTGAACATGGACAYGGGTTTCTTCCCGGTACCGAAGAAAGCAGCTCCCACAAAGATCTTGGGTTTGGGCTTCAGGCTGCTGAAGCTGATGGTGATGGCTTTCTTCATCTCTGCTGGTTTGCTGCTGCTGACAGACGCTGTGGCTTTATCTGAAACACTGTAAAACCAAACATGGAGGATTYAAAACCAGGAAACACACAAGCTTAATAAATCTAGGTTCATAGATTAAAATGATACTTCAGAGTGAAACCAACCTGGTGTTGACCTGAGGCTGCTTCTTCACCTTGGTAGACAACATGGAGAMGCTGGTGCTCTTCTTCCCTCCTTTACCAGAACCTGCAGACGTCTTCTTTGCTTTGCCTTTTTGTTTTATCTTCTTGGTCAGAGGAGGAGGTGAGGAGGGAGGTGCAGGAGGAGGTAGAGACTCCTTTAGAGCTTTCCTCTCCAGTGGGGTCAGATAGATGCTCTTCTGTTTGCCATAGAAGGAGCTCGTCACCACGGAGGGCTTCACAGGCAAACTGGATGGGGAGCCTAGTTAAAATGGTAATTATGTTTAAAAAATAACTATAATATTAATAAAGAACAAATAAATGAATTAAAAAGTGCTTATTTCCTTTGAGCTTARTATTGTGAGCACAAGAAGCAGATGAAGAACTCTACCTGCTGGTTGAGGTGGAGACGTCCTCTTCACCGGTGACTCCTGCTCACTCTTCCTCTTCTTAGCAGAGCGACTGGTGACCAAGTAAAACATCCCATAAGAAACAACAGACTCAGGCTTGAAGAAATCAAGAAAAAAATTCCACTTGAACTAAATTTAATTGTTTTTATTTGGTTGCAGCTGTAYCTAATGACATCTGTGATGCATCTTGGTTTTGTTTGGCTCCGATGAACGAGTGGTGGTTAGCACAAGGAGCTGTTTTAAACTGGGAGGTGATGGGTGAGGGTTCAACTCCTTTAATTAACATTAGAAAACTGAAGCAGAACGGGGCCGTTTACACCAAGCTGCTTTTCASTAAACTTACAACATTTTCTTTGTGATCCCTTGTTGACACGTCACCAACATACAGAAAGTTTATTCTAAACTAACAATAATTATAATAAAGTGCAGACAGCAACATGTAAGAGCAAAACAAAAACATCGTAGACCTGAAGGAGCATTCGTTTATTCACTAGTTTTGGACATAATTGTGATCAAACAGACACTATCAGGGTTGCCAGATAAAAACTATAATTTGTTATCTGTCCCTCTGTTTCTACGTACGTAAGTAAAGTTTTATTTRTAAAGCACCTTTCACAGAAACAGATTCACAAGGTGCTGTACAACAGTTTATAGACAGTAATATATACAACATTAGACAGAAACAACAGGAAGTGATGAACAGGTGGAGGACTGTGATTGGTCAGAATATGAAGAGCAAACAGGATTGTTCCAGGATGAATAAGGTTGAGACTTTTACAGGTTTTCAGAATCACAAAAGAGACGTCCAGACAGGAAGTACCACAACTGCCACAGGGCAGGTGAGAAGAGCCCCTCCTGCCCCAGTGTTTTGTAAATAAGGTCGTTACATCTGAAAGAAGTGACTCTAAAAACACTCGACTCAGCAACAAGTCTCCATGGAGCCTGGAGGATTCCTGTCACTATTATGCTTTCATGACCCCCCACCCCCCAAAAAAGTCAACATTACCAGAAATTTAGATTCAAGTTTCAAAGCTTTATTGTTATATGCAGTTTTTTTTACTGTGCATATAACAAAATATTTGATATAGATCTAAGTGCAAGTAATAAAAGATAAAATAAAACAAACATGCAACAATATGATAACAAAAGTTTTAGTAAATAGAAATGTAAACTGTACAGAAATATAAACGATGCCAATAAGCCTGGCTTCACCTGGTACTGGTACTGGTACTGGTACTGGTACATTTCAGTCTAACAGCTGCAACATTTTTAAATCTAAAATAAATATAAAACCACTCAGTTACCTCCATCATGTGTATTTGTAATATTGTATTATTATTGTGAGAAACCTTTATTGTATTTTGTTTCTCTCTGCATGTAGCCTACAGATAGACTG